GGTCTTTTATTAGGAACAGTAAACGGCGAGCTCAAAATCCTTCAAAATTCGCTCAAAAAAACCGCTTCAAATTTGAGGCTATATAATAGACGACAATATACCACAGGTAAGGTAATTCAACGTTTAGTTAACACGGTTATGTGAACAACAGACAAACAGCAGATTGATCCAAACAATTCATTGCGAAACAAAGAAAACAAAGGGGTGAAAGCAACAAGGTGCTGAAGGTTGACTTATTTGAACTAAAGAGGTCTATATAGCTTCTGAAATGTACTCTCCACAAAGGCTTGAATGCAACTGACTAACTTGGGCCACAGTTGTTGAATATTTTGAGTTGATTTCCAATTTCCTTTGTCTTCTAACCCTAATTAGGACAAAAAAGAAATTGAGAATCAATCTAGGTTAAAAAATTTTGACCTGAATTTAATTTTGACCTCCTCTTATAACTGAGGGTTATTCCCGAATTCCGCGAAGTAATGGCCGGTGGTTGGGGTAGGGGCTTTATTCAAGAGAATATCGTAACATATTTACACTTAGTTTCGTGCCTTGGTCTTCTAAACGGTGTTGCAAATAATCGTTTTGCTTTTTCTATGGCTATAGGAGACATGGCAGAAGAGAGATATGCACTCCACTATCCTCAGGAAGCCCTTGAAATCAATTGGAATAATACTTCCAAGGAGAAAATCCAGGAGCTTTTCAAAATATGGGCTGGCAATTATGATAGGGTATGTTTTGAATTGCCAAAATTGTTTGGTAGAGAATAGCCGATATTTCGTGAGGCCACTTCTAGTTTTCCTGCAAAATGACCTCGGAGGAACGATTGCAGAAATGCAGTACTGATGACGAGTCACTGCCCGGCAGATCTGCGTAGTGCTTCTGATTGGTTGAAGCAAATTTCCCTCCCGGCAAGACTAATCAGAAGCAGTACCTAACTCTGACAACATCATCAGTGAGTGTGAAATTTCTGCGCTATGCCACAGACGTCATTAGTGGTGGAGTATGTGTCGCGAAAGGACAGTGATCGAGATGGGAACCTTTCAAGGCAAATCACATGTAATGTAGGGTTCATACGAAGAAAACTCAAGCCCTAGGGCAGTTACTAATTCCAAAAGTGCTTGAATAGGCAGTTTGATGCAACTGCCATGTGACTATCACTAACTGACAGAAAAATTTCAAGCTAGAGCGAAATAATTTTCAGGAATAAATTCGGAAGCACATCTAAGTTAGTGACAAAGCAAATTTTCAGGCCAGTGCTATTCGATGGAGCAAATTAATCTAAGGGAAGGTCGGGCAGTGCAACAATTTCAAACAAATCGAATATTTCGAAAACAAAAAAATCTTTTGGTAAAATTGTATGGAGGTGACAACAAAAACCTCGCCACCCAGTTAAAATTTCGTTTATTAAGTTAATTTTGATCAATTGGCCTTTCTTAAAAACGCAAACGTATTATCGTCATGGTCTCTGGTAGTCTTCTTCGCGGCCGTTTTTGTCTCGTCACGCAGCGGGAAGTCTCTGGAATTATTTCAAAAATTTCTACCATTCATTTGAATATTATTTGACTTTATGGCGATGTTCTCTATCCAAAAAACAAACACTAGAGCATTCTCCGAGAGTCTCTGCTTAATTTCCCAGGAACACTACCATTTTCCTCATGAGCTTTGGTTGCAATAATATTTCCCTGCGATATTCTGTCCTGATTACCTGACCCTGGGTCCAAAGGGTGGGGAAAGCATTGTCTGGTTTAGGGTTAGGAACGCAAAATGTCCTTATTGGCGAGGATGGGGAGAGATGGCTTGTTATGCAGGCTATGAGTGTTTATGTCAGAGAGTTTCACCCAGATCGTCTAGAATGAAAAGTCACTTAACAAGCACATTCAGCCTGGTCAGTAAGGAGCTTTAACTGCGTTAAGGGTAGGACGAGGAGTCTGAGATGGCTAAGGCGAAACTACACCCTTTGATAGAAATATATTTTTATATAAGAATCGAGGCTAATTGGTATTTATGTCACAGGATTTCACGCAGATTCAAAAGTTAGTGCAGAATGAAAAACGCTTAACAAGCACATTCTGCCGGGTCGGTTAAAAGGTTTTTCATGTTTATTCATTTTTTCTTTTTAGTGGGTTCTTGAAGGTTCCGCCAATGGCGCACCGGGTTGTTACTCCCATTTATCATGTGGAGAAGCCTTCTTCAATGCGGCTAAGGACCTCTATGGCGAAAGCAAGAAAGACCTCAAAATATTGGATTGTGGCTGTGGGTCAGGACTGTCTGGTCAAGTTCTGAAGGACAAATACGGATATGATAACCTTACTGGGCTGGATGTGTCTGAAGATATGTTAGATATCGCTAGACAAAGAAAAATCTACAAGACTATTATCAGTGCCTTCGTAGGTACCGACAGAGTAAAAGAGATACAAGATGGTGAATATGACGCCGTTATCTCCTCTGGAGTGTTCCAAACTGGTCTAGTGAGAGCCAAAGCTTTGGATGAAATCACTCGCTGGATTAAGCCAGGTAATTTGTCACTACTTTGACTTCTTGCAAGAAATCTAGAGGTAAAAGTGAGATGACCTTTTTGGAAAAATATAATAAGCAAATGACTTCGGTTTTTTTTTGTTTCTTCAGTTCAGTGATGGTCCCAGAGGTTTTTCTTGATTTTTCCTCGCCAAAGAGATCAAGAGCAAGCCGCGAAGCGGCGACAACGAGTAGCGAAAGCGATTAGGAGAGAGAGAAAAACCTCTGGTTACCTTGGCCTCGAATTTCACTTTCATGCAGACGACAGGGTCAGGATCTGACCCTCGGCGTTGATTGGTTGATATTTTTTCAAACACGCAAACTAATTTGATTGGCTCGTTTAATTGTAACTACCGTGGGGACGCTGAGGATTCTCACACCTCATTTTGCCTCTCTCTACCAGGGAAGAAAATTGTTAGTATGCTGCACTCGCAATAACATTTGCACGGGACCAAGGCGCGTAAAGGCACGCCATATTTCGAGATTTTGACATGAATGTTGTTCCTGAAAGAATATTCGAAGAAATTTTGACCTCGGTACTTGATGAGCGCTTTCCTGCGTCTCACTGAGCAACAAAAGAAAGCTTTGTTCGCCGCGTTGAGTCGAAAGGATGTGTTCACCATTTTATCAACCGGACATGGAAAGTATACAATATTTCAGTCGTTACCTAATGTTTGCACGTACCTTTCGTTAAGAGGCTACTCATAACCCCGCCATGCAATAATTTTGGTTGTCTGTCCTCTCCAGTCTCTTGTGGACTCGCATATCCGCGAACTGCGAAACCGTGGCGTCTCAGCAACCAGTTTGAGCAGTCCAGACGTTGACGACCAGAATCTCGTGTCTCGATGTATTTACCATTTTACAATACTGCCATTCCATTAAATAAACCAACTTGTTTAGGGCAGCAAAATATAAATCTCCGAATACGGAACGAAAGTTTCCTTGTAGGAAAAAAAACATACAACTTTGTACAAGTACATAATCATTTTCGGTGCAGCTTGCATTTTCCTGCGACGCCCAATATTTATCTTTAAAGATCTAACCAACGTTATTTTTGGCATTGGGTCAACAAAAACCTCTAAAAGTACATTCCGAAACTTAAGGGTTTGTTGTGCTGCATGACTCTTCGTAGCGCGGTTGTTCCACAAAAAAGGGAAATGGAGCCGCCAAACCAAAATGCGTGCCAGATTGCCAGAATACATATTAATATTACTATTTTGGGGGGAATGCCCGCGAAGTAAAAAGAAGTAAAAAATATAATAAGCGCGATTGATAGACTCTTGCAAACTTTACAACTTCGCGCTGGCACTTCTGACAGATAATACCGTTGAGTCGTGTACACAGCCGACAGAACAGATGACAACGTTTGTGAAAATCCTTGTTATTATACACAAAAAACGTTGATTTTAGATCAGCCACTAGGAGCCGTCGGCTCCTGTCGGCGACTTATTTTTACATAAATTCTGCAAATCCTGCAGCAGTCATTTGGAACAATGTTGGTTTCTTTATACAGTGGTGTTCTTATTCCTGGACTCTTGTCGCCCATCGTTAACACAAGCTTTAGCTTGACCCCGATTACAAATCACTCTTTACCACCCATGCAAGTGGAGATGGTTTGTTCATAACATAATTTCCCAAGGTCTACCCCCACTTAAAAAATAGCGGCTGATAAGCACGTGTTTGCTAAATTGCCATTGGTCACTCTTTTTATTAGCAATTTGACGCGTTTGACAGCTGTCGTCTGCATGAAAGTGAGATACGAGGCCAAGGTAACCAGAGGTTTTTCTCTCTCTCCTCGTCGCTTTAGCGACTCGTTGTCGCCGCTTCGCGGCTTGCTCTTGATCTCTTTTGCGAAGAAAAATCAAGAAAAACCTCTGGGACCAGGGTAGTTCAGTGACTTCCATAGACCTTAAATCCCACGCTACTCAACGTCTAAACATGCCGTCACATAAAATGTAGGCTTATTTCTTGGAAATCTTTTTTAAAAATTGACTTTAACTTCTTTTAGAATTGAAAGCCCTGCAAAGCAAGATGACGTCTAAGGGGTGCCCCGCATACCGTGGTAAAACCGTTGAAATCCCTCGCTAATCAGCCCTGTATTTCCCGGTTATGAGGGTGCGGGGCTTTCCGCTAGTATAGCTGACTAAAAACTTGGGTCGGTAGATGAAATAATCATAAATTAGCATAAGAGTCAATGAGGTTACTTTCACACTATGTCGGATAGTTGTTGCGCCGGCACGAAAACCTTACCGGTTCCCTGGTGTCAGGATATTTACTGCTTGAATTTGCTCCTTTCAGGGGGTATCATGTGCTTCACTTGTCCAGTGTTTGACAAAGAGGAAAGCGGTTACAAGGAGAAATGTGAGAGTCTGGAGAAGGAGGGAAAATGGACTCTGGTCTCCAACAAGGAAGCTGAGTACTATGGCGACCAAATTCCTAAAGGGCGCGGCTATAAAACGTGTCGAATGCTGGTCTACAAAAAATTATAAATACTCTTTTGCCAGTGGATGGTTTTGTTATCTTATCCTCGACCTTTCTACACTGGGTTTGGATCACTGTGCAGTCGTGTTATTCTATAAACTAGCGAAAGACTGAATTGAAGCAAACGTTTTTTGAATTATAGTTCTTGAAAACTGTCGTTCGCTATACAAGATTTAACACTTATGTCCATTTATTTCGGTTAATATATAGTACACATTTTGTTCTTTTCATGATCAAATAGTTATATTGACAAAAAAAACTTTTAATGCTTCTAGCTTCGTGCACGGAATAAAAAACTAAACGATATAGATGTTAATATTAAGTAGAGTCCATTACTTGTTGTTCCTTTTTATTACAAGTTCGTGCTTAAATTCCTTGATATCTCTAGCCGAATTTTTGAAAACGTTACCGCCAAATATACCTCTTCCGTCAAACAGCTATTTTCTGGTCAAAACCTCACCCATCTCCCAAGTAGCCACCGATCGTTTTTTTTCTCTTCTCCTCCCTTCCTCCTCCTCGTTCTTTCTTTTTCTCCTTTCCTTTTCCTTCGTTGGTGTGATTTTCGAGATTGTGGGGTCCAAAAAACCTGACTTTTGTCTGTTTTTCACTCAAATGGCTGCAAAGCTCGTTTTCAAAAAGCGAGACAGTATTTCGCGGGGTTTTATTTCCGCGATTTCAATAGGCAAATATGAAAAAAGGCATAAATTTCGGGATTTCACGATCCTTGCCAACTCCCTTCGGTGAATTTTGCCATGTCACTGCGCCCAGACGTCAAGCACACGTATGAATTAGGCCAATCGTGAGGCGCATAAGAAACCCGTAAGAAACCCACCTATCAGAAACGCTCACATATGTCCTTGCGACTCTGCAGAATATTAGAACGAGTTTTTGTGCACTAATTCGCAGACGGACTATACAGATGGTTTAGACGAGTGCGTGGGCCGGCTGCAACGCAGGCTAGCAGGAATGCCGATTTGAATTTGACACTAGTTACCGGAACGACTAACGGATTCATTTTTCAAATAATCAATTCATTAATAGAATCTTGGAGGTACGCTTGACCTGCCTTAACTGTAAAGTGTCACAAATTCTTTGCCCTTGAGGTAATATTAATCAGTTGTATTAATAAGCGTCTCGTCAACTTGAATATAAAAAGGGGCGTAAATTCAAAGGGAAAGGCTTTGAATCCCTTAATATTTCGCTTAAAATTATATTGCCTCGTGTGGTTGACATAGATGCGCTGATTTGGGTCTCCACTTTAAAATTACGTGACTTTTGTTTTCGACAATTATTCAAAATTCTGGAGCTTGCCTATCATATTGAAAATATAGGCCCGTATTGCGTACTTGAGGCTACGACGATGAAGTGTAACAAAATGATATTTTGAGGTGCTTTCAAAGAAAAAACTGAGAAGAATAAGGCATGCTATTCAGCTTCTCTTTCCTGTGTAGCTGTTTATTATGCATTCTGATGAAGGCAAATAATTAAGTATAACTCTTGCTTGTGAATGAGTCGGCTAACCAGAGCGTGACCATTCAGATTCCCCGGGCGGAGAGATGTTGTTTGTGAATGAAATCTTAAAGAGTAATTACAGATTAAGGCTACTAAGTTTATGAAGAGTAATACGTAATAATCTCACTCCATTTTTGTGAAAAAGCAACGAATAACGAGCAATTTGTAGTCATAATACTGACCTTATTCTAAAGCGTAACCTTTCAAGTGAACAATACTATGCAGTAGATTTCTCTCTTATTTTTCTTGTGTTTTATGGACAAAATAAACGAGAAGACCTTTTACTAAATGAAGGTCATTTTCTCAAAAAATTTCGTTAAGCCATAGACGTACGGGCAATCAGTTTTTGCCAGGGGGGGGGGTAAACCATTTGCCCAAAAAATTCTTGCAAGTTGCCCAGATTTTTACAAAACAGTCTAACAGAGACAAGGGCTATACGATTCAACAGGCATAGGCCATACTGGCATATGAAAGTGGCTTGATACAGTTTTTCAGGGTCAATTGTCACCATAAACAAACATTTGTGTGCAGTTTTCTGTATTTTCTGACTATTCAGTTTGTGGATTTTAATTTGTTTGAATGAAGACCCTTGCATGGACCAGTTATTAAAAATAGCTAAATGGTGAATCATGGCCGGCTGTGGGTGCGAAGCTTGCAACTGATCCTTTGCTTTTAAAATCTTCAGGTAGGTTGTTTTCGTACGGAAAATTCACTTCTTCATTGTCAGCAGGTAAAAGAGCCTCAAGCCTAAAGTTTTTTTTTGAATGAAAATTTGTTGTTTTGCAACCTTATTGAAGCTTTTTTTAGTTCACTTAAGCTGAATTTTATGCATGATGGAATTGTTCTTTGCTTGTTGTTCGGGACAAATGTAATTTAAAAATCGGACACGAAAATTATCCGAAAACTGTTAGGTTTTTTTGATAGGGACCTGAGCACTGGTCACGTGACTTCTTTTTCCATGTGACTAGAGTGTTGATCTGTGATAGTTGTTGCGTTGTTTGTATGGTAGAGAGAGCACAGAACTTGTAAGTATTTGGTTCGTTTTTTAGTTCTATTTTTGCTCTCTACCTACATGTTTTGTATTTTTGTTTCAGTTTTCACCGTTTGAGTCGAAGAAATCTGTGCTTATCCCCAACATCAGTGAAAAAAGTTCTATTGGAATTGCATGTTTTCAAGTGTGATCGATGGATGCTTCGAATAGATTGAACGTTGGCTTCGACAGTGGTCGTGGTATAAGTTTGGATTACGCTGGGTCTGGAATGGATCGTGGATTGCCCGATTTTTCGATTCAGTTACCTGCGGTTTCAACTCGGAGCGATATTTCTTTACCTTCTTGTGTTTCTACGAATGTGTTTTCACAGCCATTGAGCGCTTCGCGGGAAGGCGATGGCTATCATTTTCGTCCCAGGCCCCCGCCGACTACTCGCGTTGAATTTTTGGAATCGGATCGGAAAAGGGACTCACGGGACCAGAGGAGTACGGCAATGCAGTGGTCAAATATTAGCAAGGAAATAGACAGTTTATTGAAAGAAATTCAGTCTGAAATTCATGTAACACTGAGTCCAGAGGAAGCTAAGAAATCTGTTGACTTGCTCTTGGAAAAATGGGACAGGCTCGAGGGACTTCATGGGAGGTACCTTGCAGGAATTAACGAGAGAAAACGCTTAGAACATGTACAAGAGCGTTATTCTACTCTGAAACGTGAAGTGGACGATATTATCAATGAGTGTGAGGGTTTGTTTAGAAGACCGGACCCCCGGCATGACGAACTTGGAATGGACCGCGGACTACCAGTTTGGGATCCGAAACAAGATGACAATAAGTCAGTGCACAGCGTTGCTACTCATGTTACCAAACATTCTGAGGCATCATCAGTTTCTTCACAGAAGAAATCACTTAAGAGGGCACTGGTGTCTAAAATGAAACTAGACTTAGCAAGAGCTAGGGCAAAGGAAGATGCAGAAGCAGCAAGAGTGGCTCACGAATGTAAGCAAAGGATGGAACTTAGGCGCCTTGAAGAGGAAGCAACATTGGCTGAGCTTGAATGGAAAATTGAAATGGATAACTTGACTGAAAGCAAACTCCCCCCTGTTGTGCCTAGTGCCTTGAACACTTCTACGTTTATTGTTAACAAGCAATCACACTCCACCCCAGTCACGTCCGAGTATGTTTCTAGAGATGGGTTTAACAGTCAACCGAGTGCCGTGTATGTGATATCCAGTGGAACACCTCAATCAACGGAGCCAAAGTATCCAGCAGTTTCAAGACCGTCAGACACTATGTTGAGCCCTAATGAATCGTCTGTGAAGGGATTAAACACCACCACTCCCTCTGCGGGGATTAACTCGACCCAGTCCCCTGAACGTGTTAACTTCGGGAGGTCGTAGACCGTCTCCAGCATGGACCAGGCTCCCCGTGATCATGTTGCCGCAATGTGGAAAGCACAATATCTTAGCGGAATAAAGCCGACACAGTTCAGTGGTAATCCAGCCGAGTTCCCCTTTTTTCGTGAACAAGTTCGTACGCACCTCGAAAGCGACCTGCTCACTGATGCCCAGCAAGTGGAGTATCTGCCTAAATTCGTGGCGGGAGAAGCGTTAGAGGCTGTGAAGCGTAATAGAGGTTGTACGTTTAACGAGATTATGAAAACGTTGGAGGAACGTTTTGGCCAAGCGGTGAGAGTGACGCAAGCATGTGTGGAAGAGCTCGCATCTGGCCCCAAGTTGGCGTACGGCGACAATACTGGTCTTCTCAATTTCTCTGAGAACTTAAATGCAGCCACCAGGATCCTCAAGGGAGACGTTGAACGCGAGGCGAGCGTAGCGACGAACCTCAGGCGCATCGTGAACCGTTTACCTAACGACTTAATCCTGAAGTGGCAAACCGTGAACTACGAGCTCGTGAAGTCCGGAAGATCCGCTCGATTAAAGGACGTCGCTGATTTTGTGCACAAACAAGCGTCTATCAGAAATGACCCGGTGTTCGGGTTGCAGACATTTAAGCGGGAAAACAAGAATACCAAACTTCCTCCAAAGCTTCCAGTAAAGAACACCACAATCAGTACTACCGGCGTTGATCATAAAACTCCTGCTTCTGAGAACACTGAACACTGCGGAATTTGCAAATCAAGTAAGCGTCACAAACTCCAAGAATGCCCTATTATCAAACAGTGCAAACACGTGGCAGTGCGAAGACAGTATGCGGCATCCTGTGGATTTTGTTTTAATTGTGGTCTTGAAAGGCCCGGACACGGTTCTGGCTCCTGTCTGGACCCACCAGCATGTTCAGTATGTTCCGGTCGACACATTCCTCTTCTGCACTCTGAAAGTAATTATGGTGGTCGTCGCTTCATCCCACGGAATAATAGAGAGTCTAGTGATAAGTCTGACAAGCCATTGGCGACGCCTAAATCCCCAAACAGCGAAAGGGGAAATGTCACTCCAGCCGCGAGCGGAGACAAGTCTGTGGGAAAGGTGCCAATATCGTCCGCTGCCGT